AAAACTCTTGAGCAATAGGCAAATCTGATTTTTTTTTTCTGTCAGAAAGGAGGCTATGAAAAGAAAGGTTGAAAAGTCTCGTTTGTAGATGGCCTCGAATTTCCACAGGCTGGAACCACTTGTGTTTACTGGCAGTGTAGAATCAATCCAGGAAGCGGGGACTTGCAGAATTTGGGCTTGGCCTCTCCTGCTAGCCTCAGGGCAGTCTTCTATGAGACTGAGTTCAGCCTCAAGGCATGCTTTCCCATGCATTTTCATATAGATATAAAAAACTGGCAGGATTACTGCAAGGATACATACATACGTGTGCTCTGTGTATGCGTATCATGCACATACATAACATATCTGGATGTATTTGTCCCTTAGACTCTGAGCACGGGTCAAGTGGGACAGCTTTTACATTTATCAGTGGGTAAGGTGAATTAGTTCAAAACTGCTTTTAAAATCAATGTAGCTTAGATAACATCCCGGTTGTTTAATTACAAGAAAGCTAAGCTTTCATAACTTGAGATTGCAAGAGGGAAAAATCCTCATGATTCCCAGACATTCTGCTATGATTACACAAGAAAATAATAAACATTCATCTCTGGCAAAAGTTGGATATGGCTGTGTGGTGTTGTCAGGTATGTTTATAAAACACCTCTTATTGAGGAGTTGAGAGATGTACCGCATGGAGGTAGTGGGTACCGTCTGACCGCGCATCCGTCAAAGACCTTCTTTCTGTCCAGTTTGTACTAGACTTCTTGAAATGACAGGCTTGGCTGATTGCTTTTTGTGATACTCCCCCCATCATTTTTCTTCCTTTTTTTATGAATATTCTTGCACTGTTGACGACAGCTATTTCATTTTTTCCCATGGAAAAACATCAAGCTGTATTTATATACCCTCATTTCTGTTAATACCTGAAGGCTTGTGACAAACAAGAACTTCTTCAGCATGAAAAAATGACAACCTCTCATAATTACTGCAGTCTGGGACATCTACATGCCGGTGACTGATGGAAAGCCACGTGCACAAACCACGTACATACGTACATCAAATTTCCAGGAAGTCATGTATTTTTTTTTTCTGAAAAATTCCACCACTGTATTGACTTTTAAAAAGCAGGTTACAGGTTGAGATTTTAACATACTTCCCAAGATGGTAAAGAGGGATAGCTGTCTCCCTTCCTCCTGTTTTCACTGTGATCCAGATCAATCTATGCCTACACAATCTCATTAGCTAGCCAGGATTGCCTCCGTGTACAAAGAGCCTTCGCGTGGTGAAAGAATCAATAGACATGTAATATTGATTTCTTTTATAGTACGCAGCTTGTGGATGGTGTAGCTAGGGATGTAAAAGAAACTGAAGCATGGTTCATCTTCAAGCAACTCAAGATTCACCTTTCTGAGGGACAAGATCATGAAATTGCCATTCCGATGGAACCTTTCTATGATTCCAAATGGTGATTATGAATGATCCCGAATTACGCTGTGAAAACGGCAACGGCGAATGGGCTTTATGCATGCGTAGTGTACAACGAAAGCTGGATTCACCAGAGAGCGCTGCACGGATGGCTGTATTAAGAGTGAAGACGTTTAGAGTAGGCATTCCAGGAAGAGAAGGCTGCAAAGGTAGGGTGGATAGGGTGGTAGCGGTCTCATGATGTTCTGCCTGCTTCTTAACACTGTTAGGCTAGGGACAAGCTGTGTCTGGGGTGGGAGAGGTCTGAAGACGGAAAACACTAAATGGGATAGATTCTCTGGCTTTTGGAGGGTGACGAGACTCACGCTGTGTTTTATATTTTTATCCTTTGTGCATTTATTTTTAATTCAATGATATTTGTATTTTGGGTCTGTCACTTGCCGTGGCAGATACTGTATAAACAGGACATGGCTCCTGAACTCTGGTTTAAGTGTTGCTAGTTAACATGATTTAAAAAGAAACATATACCTCCTCTTTCTAAACATATGACGTATGTTTTACTATAATAAGGATGATGAATTTTTGTGTTCGTTATTTCAAAAATAGTTGAGTAGAGAGCTGTTATTGACATTAAAATAAAAGACAGTGATTTTTTTTTCTGCTCAAAGGAATCCCAACAGTTATAGTAAAATATGGTATCTTTTAAAATCAATAACTTGCATTGAGATGAATTAATAAGAATTTCTGATGTCCTAAAGTCTTCAAAAGAGCATGGTGTTTTGAGCGGAGGCTTACAGGACAGAAGAGCCCTGGGGCACTTGAGTGGAGTGAGTGAGCTTCAGGGGGCTGGAGCAGCAGTGGAACACAGAGCAGACAACGGGTATGACGAGGAGCGAAATGAGACAGGATGTTCCTGGAGCCACGTGTGACCGACGGGAAAGGAGCAACGAAGATGGAAAGGAGGTACAAAAAGCGCTGGGGCTAAAATGGACAGACCTCAGTATCTGAGAGAACAAAGTGGGGGTGTGGAGGCAGAGGGAGGACAGAGGCCAACGTTGTCTTGTTCACAATCCTGCTGATCCGGGACCGGTGGATATCTGTCAGAACGATCAAGAGGGCAAAACCAGTTGAGACTTTGGGTACCTGGCTGAAACAAAATGGTGACATGCCAATCGACGACAGAAGAGACGCAGGAGTGGGAAACAGTGTGCTCACCTGTGGACCACAGCAAAACACGTCCAGGTAGTTTCTCAAAGAGCCAAATCATCACACATGGAACATAGAAGAGTAATGCAGAGCTATAGGGAGACCAAGATATTGAAGGAAGGGGATGCCTAGGACGTCAGAATCACAGGGAGAGAGCCCTGAGCTAGCTTAACACAGAACTTGAGACACAACGGTTCCCAGTTGCATCGTTGACAGACGGCTTTCAAGAGCTAGTGAGAACGAAGCTGGACGAAATCATTCCCCGGAGAACCCCGGAAAGGATATCACCGATGTAGGGGAATAAAAAAGGAGTGCTTTTCATGGGATAAAACCGGACTCTCTGATCATGGCGAACAATGAGGACAGATGAGAAGCCAAGGTCAATGGCAAGGGGTTCTGATCCTACCTCATGTTCCGGCTTGGTGGGAGCCTAGCCAGTTTGGATGTTCACCTTCCTAGACATGGACAGAGCGGGGAGGACCTTGGACTTTCCACAGGGCAGGGAACCATGA